AAAAAAATGAACTTAAATGATTTTAGCATATGGCTGCAATATAACAAAGAGTGAAAAATTTAAGGGGGTCTGAATACTTTCTGTACCCACTGTATATTAAAAGAATGTGTAAGACTACTAAGATAATGTTGAGAGGATGGATTAGAAAGATGGAAGGCTAAACAGATTTAATATGGAAGTGGGTATCCTGCTCTCTTTAAGCTTGCCTCTATTTCTGTGAATCAGTTGTTCTCACTAGATGATGTGTAATATTTTTGACAAGTTTCTCCTAACACACAGTTCAGGGCTCAAAGGTTGGAAAGGTCTTTGTGGTTTTAGACATACGTTGACACCGTATTTATTCCTCAGGGCAAAGCTCAGCGAAGAATCAGTGCAGTTCATGTGATGGATGCACTAATAATAAATGGCACTGATGTAAGAGATCAGCATTTCAACCAACGGTAGGACAATGTTAACAGACTTTTCTGTCGTTATGTCTGACCTGAGCCCAAATAGTTGCACCATGTTCTGAAATGTCCACTGTCCTCATAGTTCTTTCTGTAAATGTCTAGTGATGCCATAGCACTGTATGATTAGCAGTGAATGTGTTTCATTGTTTACTAAAGTTTACTTAGAGAAAGCCATTGTGTGTGTCCAGGATACAGATGGCTGAGAAATTTGTGAAGGCGGTGGCCAAACCGAGCAGACCAGACATGAACCCTATCAGGTATTAATTTAAATGAATTCAACCATTTTAATTACAGCTTTTTTTATTCTATGTGCAGGGATCTTAATATCTGTGAAAGCACTGGAAGGATGGACAGTCTGAGCTGTGAAAGAAGTTGGATGTAGAGTTTAATTTACATGATAAAACATTTGGAAATCTTGTGAAAATCTTGATGTGATCTGAAGGCAGAACGATAAATTTTCTGATATAAGTGGCAAAATAAAAACACAGTGGAGCAGGAGGGCTTTTTTGTAGTCCTGTTAAATTGTAAACAGTGTTTTGATATTAAGGTGCAACTTTTTTTTTTTCTTAATCAGAGTGAAGGAGGTTTACAGGCTGGAGGAAATGGAGAAAATATTTGTCCGGTATGCCAAGATGGATGTCCATAAGTGAACTATTAAATATCAAAGTTTCATATAATTCTATTCTAAATGTTGAGGTTTTCCTTGTTTTTAAGCCAAGGTTATTTGTTAACAAGGGCTTTGTTCATCTGTCGATTTTCTTCTATTCCTCATCCAGACTAGAGATGAAGATAACGAAATGCTCAGGAGGAACCCCTCGTCTGTCCTACACTGGCAGAGATGACCGACACTTTCTCCCCACAGGCCTCTACATCATTAAAACTGTCAATGGTTTGTATGTGTGTGTACCTGAGTGTGTATGCTGTAGCTCAGTGTAAAAAAAAAAAAAAAAACATCACCATTTATTAATACTTATCTTTTTATATCTATTTATACTTTCATTCATTTTAACTTTGTCAAAGTACCTTCAGTAGATCCCTGTGGCCAGTATGAAAGTGTGAGAAGATAGAGACTATCTCTGAAAAATCAGTCCTCTACTCTCTCTCCACCCATCAGAACCATGGACAATGGGGTACAGTAAGAAATCCATGAAGAAGTTCTTCTTTAATAAGATGACCAATGAGTCCACCTATGAAATGCCACCAAACTCTGCTGCTCCCTTCCAGTATGTATTTACCTGTTAAATGTTATTTTAAAGGCATCAAATTAGTTGAAACACGTTTGATTTCTGTATCAGAAATTATCAGTTCTGTAGTGTGATGTCGATGTTATGTTAATTTTATGATCCGTTACTGCTAACAAAATTCATGATTATTATATGAATGAACAGTATCCTTTCTTTGACTCTGTCCTCAGTGTCTGCCACTCTGAGCGGCTCTTCTGGGAGTGGGTGGACGGAGTCATAGTTCACGATTCTCAGACTCGGAAAGACCCGGAGAAACTGTCCAAAGACCGTGTTTTGTCCTTTATCCACCAGAATCACCAGCTCTGAAACTCTCACTGAGCCCAGAGCTCCACCAGCTGCAACCTGAACACAGCATGCACTCGATTATGGAGGACATACAGCCAGTGACAACAGAACTCCTTGTAAGCAGTGGTGGTTGGACAAACCACTCTGTCTTTCTGCCTTTTCTACTGCCGTTGGTTCTGTGAGTTGTTATAAATAAGAATCGCCTCAGAGTGCAATATGGAAACAAGAAGTTGCTTCCTTTGTCTCTCCACAGAATTGCATGTCCCTGGAGATCGAGTTTTTACAATTCCTAGTCCATGCCATGCTTATGTGTGTTTGCTTATGTCACGTTAGCAATGATAGGGTTTAAAATGTTGAACTATGCATCCATATCTGTAAACACATTCTTGCTTGCCTTGCTCTACACCTGTTTTAAACACAGCTTCTCTGCTTGTCATTTCTGTAGACTGTTGTCTTACAGCTTACTCCTGCAAATGAGTAGGTGGAGCCTAAATACAAGAAACATGCTGATCATGTTCTAACTTATTGTCACCATTATTTCAACATTCATATCATTTACAAATGTAGCAGCTTTTTCCCATTCATCCCGATCTGTCTGTGTGTGTGTGTGTGTGTGTGTGTGTGTGTGTGTGTGTGTGTGTGTGTGTGTGGCCTGGTATTACTCATGTTGTGGGGACAAATCTTTTTACACAGTCGTACTGTTGGGACTTGGTGTCCTTATGGGGACAAAAAGTGAGTCCCCAAATCATAAATAATAAAATTTTAGAGTGATAACTTGGTTTAATGTTATGGTCTCCAGGAAAAGAATGTCAATATAATGTCCCCTGAAATGATGGAAACAGGTGTGTGTATGTGTTAAAAATCAGGAAGGTGTCTTGTTCGGTTTTAAGTTGTGAGTCCTCATTTCTTCCGGATCGGGCTGCAAGTCGGTTATTTTTCTCTTGTAAAGTTAGTTCCTTTTGATGTAAATAATAATAATGACATTGTAAATAAATGGTAGATGCTCATCTAAGAACGTACTCTCCACTGCCTGATGAATTTTGATTTGGGGGCGACTGTGGTTCAGTGGGTAGAGCAGTCGTCTCCCAACTGGAGGGTTGGTGGTTTGAATCACGGTGCCTGTGGTCCACATGTCGAAGTGTCCTTGGGTAAGACACTGAACCCCCAAATTGCCCCCGATGGTTAGAGCCACCGGTGTGAGTTGGTGCCACAGATGGCTGCCTCAGTTCTGTACCGGAAACAAATTCCTTGTGTGTGTGTGTAACATATTTGGCCAAATAAAGGTGGTTATCCTTTTTATTTAGGGTATTGTCTGAGTAATGATAACTGTGGCTGGATTAATATGTTTAGAGGGCCCTGGTGTCTTCAGCTTCCTATCAGGTATAGTGCATAGAGCCCACTATACATGGCAGCCTAATTATACAGTACAGATATACTCATTTTCACATCAGAGAGGGAGATTGTCATTAAAAATTTCCAAAATGTTGGCACTGAAATTTATGATTCAGTCACTCACGGTCCAAATCAGCATAATAGGAAGGCAGTGTTTCCCCTACTGTTATGTTAGGGGGGCGCCCCACCCGTCACCAGGATGATGAACTGCGGAGCAGGAGACAAGCGTCACTCTGAGCGACCTTTTTTCAAAAGACATTTACAGCAATAAAATGCAACACAGCGGGCACTTCCAGGCCAAGAGTCTCCCAACAGCTACTGGTGACTGCTATGCTAATAGCCCTTTTTGAATGAGACAGCGTGACCCTGTATGGCAAAAGATTATTCTGGAGAGGTGTGAGAGAGCCCATTTAAACCAAGGCAACCACTCAGAAAAACGACTTTCTGTATTATTATCAAATGAGTCAACATAAGAATGTGACCCAAATCAAAACCAGGGTGATACCTGACTGCTCTACTCTGAAATGAAAGGGTGAATACAGATTAATACAGAAACTGTACGGCCACACCACTGTAAGACGTCTACTGAAATAGATATTTATTAGGGCTGCACGATAAATCGTTTTGTTTATGAGTGTGATTTAGATCTTTGTGCAATCTCAGCCTCGTGTGACAATGATGTGAGAAACAAACCAGAAAATGTTCTAAATGTGTGCTACTCCAGCTTCTGGGTGGCTTGGTGGTTAATACCATTGTATTTGGTACAGCAGGTCAGGGTTTGATTCCCTGTCAAGGCACGGGCAATATCCAGTGTGGGCCCCCTAGCAGGGAGATGCCTTTCATCAAACCAAGCACCCTGGTCAGACCCTTCATCACTACACAAATTCATTCCTTCTTTTAAAATTGTACATTTACCTGCAGTTCCTAAATCATGCTGTCTGCTTTTGGCTGCAAACTTAAAATCTGCTTATTTAGGAAAGTCCAAGCTATCTACTTTTTATAGCACTAAACCAGGAACTAAAGGAGAACATCCACGTCCTTTGACACAGCAGCTCATCTTCTGTGAGGAGCTACCGCAAAATGGTGGGCTATTTATGTTGACTGTAAATTTTCATAGTATAATATTATGCTTATATAAGAACCTGAATGAATCTTACAAGGGACTTTAGTCAACACTTCAGTGTCATAGCACAAGGATGGAACAATATCTATCAAAGATCAAAGATTTTATTGTCAATTGTATGTGCAGGACATACAGAAAATCGAAATAGCATTTCTCTCTCACCTAGTATTGAATGCCATCACATTTAGGAAACTAAAATAGAATAAAAGTAGAGTAAAATAGACTAAAAAGAATAAGCTAACTAAGTCAGAGTGATTAGGATAAAGCTAAACAGTACAACCTAATAGGCTATGACTCAAACCATACACAATCAGTGACAGTAGATTGTCAGATAGTTGTGAGACTGAGATGCACATGGATATGAATATGTTTGATAGATTGCCTGGGTCAGCTTTCACTTATAAACCATTTATTGCTAGGCTGTTTCTTTGCCGTAACTTGTCAGTGGGACTGTGACAGTGTCCTCATTAAATGTTACATTTTCTTAATTTTGTTGGGTTTTGTTGTGACCTTAAAGTGAATGGAGAGGTACATTAGTCACAGTAATACTTTGTTTCCATTGTGATGTGTTGGCCCAGTTAGTTTCACAAGTCACAAAAACTAGGAACAACCTGTACACTGGAAGTAGCAGGCTGCAATTTAAGTTTTAATAATGAGCCTCTCTATGTATTTTAGTCAAAACTGTTACACACTGTATTTGCTTTAAATAAAATCTAAAACTGCTAATATTTAGTATGAATAAAGAGGGGTTTCAAATACATACTGTACAGAGATAAATGTAAGAGTTTACTGTTTTCAGCTGCTTTGGCAAGTCTGGCAATGCAGCTTATCACACATTGTCAAATGTAGTTTATATCTAAGGAAATATTCAGAGTGTGTCTGCGTTTTGCAGGGACAAGACTATGAGATCCACAGTACCAAGAGGCTAAGTGGGTGAGCACTTCTCTGAGTTGGATGAGGTGGGATGCAGCCTTGAATGCTGGCTTCCGCAGACTCTTCAGCTACATCCAAGGCAGCAATCAAGGCAGTGAGTTTAATGAGATTAGCCCTTTAAAGGCCACATTAACCAACAGTGAAGACTACAATAAACCCCACCACCACTGTGTGGTCTGTGATGTTATTTATTTTGTTGAGACTGTTGTCAGAGAGGGCTTTTTAGGGTGCTGTTGTAAACTTGGTGACACTCGATTAAACCCAATCACTTAAGGTAAATAATGGTCAAAAGTTGAAGAATTATGTTTTGGATAAGTTTGTCAGTACTTTGAACATGTGAATCAGTCAATAAATACAAGAGAGAGTGCACTTTAGTTCTTACTCAGCAGTTTGTAACAGTGCCACTGCCTTTGTCTTACTCAGCTGTCAGGAGGATTATTTATGAGAATATATATTGTTTGTGCTGTTGACTAGTGAGGTCTGCAGTGTAAAGACAGTGTGATGTATAAACACTGTGTTTAATCCTCTACATCTGCCACACATTGTGGCTCTATGCCAGCCAACTGATAAGACGTCATCATAAACCAAAGTTTAGATCTGCAAATAAGGGTTTATTTAGAAAATGTAATAACTGTGCGTTTTACAAAAACAGATGTTAGATTGATCATTATCATTTCATGTCTAATTATATTCAGCCGTTTGTGTTTTTGCTTTAAAAAAAAAAAATTGTGTTCATGTTTTTGTTGCTCAGAGGTCAAAGCGGACATGACGGCACCTGTGACTTGTCGTGTGGACCCCGGAGCCAGCCCTGCATGTGAATCTCAGTTCACAGTATCGTTCTACATCCCTGAGGAGCATCAGGTCAATCCACCAGAGCCTAGTGTGACCCAGACGTGTTTGTAGAGCACCTGAAAGAGTTCATAGTCTCTGTTACGACAGCCTTTTCAAACTGATCAACTGCAGGAATGAGGTCTGGATCCTTAAGAAGGAAAAGGAGCAGTTGGGAGTTCAAAGGTTATGCAACACCCTACCCACTGCATTTTAATACTTACATTTAGGAATTAAGATTTCATATGATCAGGCCACAATTTAACATTACTAAACCTAAAAGTTTCCACAGTGGGGTAATATGTCCAGCAGAGGGCGCCAAGTATTCAGAAGATTTCTCTCATTTGGTGCAAACCATAACTGCCTCTTCACTTTTTAAAGAATGCCTAGCTGAAAAACGACTTTTCTGCCTTTGTTTACTTTGATATTTGCAAATTTTATTCAGTAACTTCTAAATGTCAAATATTTAATACTTAGTTGTAATTATGTGTTAACTCTTTATTAGTTTACACCTAAACCTTACTGTGAACAGACTTTCCATGGGATTAAAGGATAGGTTTACAATCTTTAATAGCTGTTTAAATGTAATGCTTGATACATTAAAAGCACTGTTTGTCAATGTAGATGTTCCTTCCATTTATACTGGCTGCATAATTCAGTTCCAGCATTAAAGATGAGGGGGATAAAATCCTCTGGCCTCACTCTGTACAAAAATACAGTCTGAAATTGAGCCAAAAAATGAGGCTCAATTTCCGTCACAAGGCCCGTCTACAAAGTGCACCACCGAAAAGACACTAAAGAAATATTCATTCTTTGGATAGTATCACCAAAGTTACTGCACATAATGGTCACCAGTTGATTACACAACACTTAATTTGGAAAATGTGCCTAAGAGCAAAGCTGTTGAATATTTTTGTAGTACCTCTTTTCGGTGTTGCACTTTGAACACAGTACAGTGCACATAAGATATTTCGTTAAAATGGCTCATTTTGAAAATTGAAAATTATATCGTAGCTCATTGTCTGCCTTACTACAGCAAAGAAGTGTTGTTTGTGTTTTAACATTTCACTTATGATTTATTGATACAGGAACTTTGAATATGTGACTATTTCATCCTAGGATTGGCCTGATGCTACTTTATTAAGTTCTGATATTTTTTCAGGCAAGAACATCACCATTTGTCTGGGTAATGCATCAGCTGATGTGAAAATTTGCTCCAGGGTTTTCAGAGATGTGAGTACCAGTTAGTGGACCAAGCCATTTCCATCATGTTCTCTTTACTCTTCACCGTCTGACTCAGACTGCAGTGATAATTCCTACTGCCACAAATATTCAAATACTAAAAATGAAAACAGATTACCAAGAACGAATATCTGAATAGTTGTTTAATTGGCATCAGCACTAGAACAAACATTCCCCTTTGTAGTTACCTGTCTGTGTGTATTAAACTGTGATCTACCAACAATTTTGATGCCATGTGGGTGTAAGACATTGTCAAGTGACACTTAAGAGCAAACAAACATGGTGCATTGTGTGGTTTTAATCTTGAGGAAGGGATGCTAAATAGTACTTGATGACATTAACTGAACCAACCTTCAAATGATAAAGAAATTAATAATAAATAGAACTCATCATCAAATGATTGATCATTTTGCACCTCTAGCTCTAATGTGTAACTGTTTTTGTCATCTTTAGTTTGTTTTGTTTAATATGGTTTGAATCAAACCACAGAAAATTGCACTGAGTTGTTTATCTGATCTGTAGTGGATACGGCTCAGACCGTCCTCCACACTCTGATGGTCGTGACCTTTTTATCAGTCGGATCAAACCGTCGCCACAGTTCACTTCAGCCTTTATCCTCCCTCGCCACCTTCTCCCCCTTGCTTCCTCACCATCACGTCTGCTGAGTCGTTCCTTTTCTTTGTGGCAGAATTGTTCACAGTATCACGTTCAGACACTCAGCAGAAATTCCATCTTTTTTTTTTTATACACACGCTCAGACCCACTCGGATCGATCTCTTTGGCCATGCTTGTTGGGGTGAGGCTTTGCTGTGCGGTGGTATTGCATAATGAAGCTTGCTGTTTTATTTCAAACACCACAGTTGTGCATTTTATTTACCCACTCCCCAGGCTGGTGGAGCCCTCGAGTTGATGCAGAAGACGGGGCGTAAAAATAGCTGCATGGCGAAACTCATTTTCTGGTGACAAAGATTAACTTTGGAAAAGTAATGTACAACATGCAGCGGTACATTGTGAGGCAGTTTTTATAGGCCATGTGAATAATAAGTACTTTTACTTGATTTTAAGGTTCCAGTTTCTTCCCACATCCCATATTGCAAACCGGACGCACTGTACCAGAGAATGTAATCTGCCAAAACTGTAGGTATCAGTAGGTGTGTGTTAAATTTACATGGCTGGGAACTGTTTTCTGAAGCAAATTTTTGTATTGATTTGTTGTTCTTTCCAGGCTGCAGTTGGTTTCCATTAATTTTACTACATTGTGAAGATTAGGGCCACAACAAACTTTAATTTTCAGTATTGATTAATGTGACCATTCTTTTCTTGGTTAGTTATTTAGTCTATAAAATGTCACAAACTAGTGAAAAAGGCCATCACAGCTTTAGAGCCCAGTGTGTTCACGTGGTTTGTTTTGTCCATCCAAAAGCCCGAAACCAAAATATATTAGTTTACCAACATATGAGGAAGAATAGCAGTAATGTAGATGCAAACAGGGAGCTTTCTACATTGGTGTAATCTTTAAGACAGTTATTCCCAGCTTGGGGGTGAGGATAGCCTGAAGCATTTGCAGGATATACCTGAGGGATCAGAACCTATTTCATGCAAAATATGTGTTAATCTGAAATCTGTAAGTAGTATTTAGGCAGTGCATGATGCAGCGTGCGCTGTTTTGAAGTGGCTTTGCAGAGAAGTCAGAACTAAAGAGTGGTATTTCTTCGGTTGTGTGTTTTCAAAATCGAGCTTCCTCTTGCTGGGTTTTTTCAGGACAGTCAACCCTCCCTTTAAAAGTTAAAAATGTAACTGCAAGAAAATTGGTCCTTACATTGTCCACTTGACAATATACATGTTGTCCGATATTATAGTTTGTGAAGGCAGCACTTCTCCTCAGCTAACTGTTAAAGGTCTAGTTGGAGCTTCCCTAAATGCATTAGCAAGTAAAAGTTTCAAACCTGTCCTTAATTCTTCCTTAAGTGTCTAAAACCAAATATGACCAAGAGGAAAGGGACACTGGAATGTCAATAGTGTGATTATACAGTAGCTGGGAGCAGTTTGTATTGATTCCTGTTTGACAGCGAGATGGACACTGTGTAGCCTTTGCGGGGCAGGTGGAGTCCGTCATTTGGTTTACGGGTGGATGGAGATGCTAAGGCATTGGAATGGTTTCAGCATAGGACCACAAGGCCACATGTTGTAAGTCAGACAGTCGGGATGGTTCAACAGCGGAAAGGTCTATTATGAGCTGAGCCTGTGGTTCAGTGTGTGTTCTGTCCTAATGGGATGTCCAGGAAGAGACGTAACTGATGACCCCATGTGGGGAGGAGGAGGAGGGCTAAATGATAGCCTCTGGAGTTTTCCAGATGACAGACGAGTGTGGGTGCCATGGCGACAGTCCTAATGAGGCGCTGATTTGGGTTGCTGGGCTGGCAGATGGCCGTGAATCACACAGCGAGAGAGAGAGAGAGAAAGAGAGGGAACGAAGGCGAAATGACAGACACCCACTCCTTAAATATCACCTTGTTTTTATTACACAGACATACACAAGAGCGTTAGCAGCTTGCCTTCAGTTCCACTCCCACTACTTCACGACATCTTTTTCTGTCTTCCCGTCTTTTCACAAGCACTGCGTGGTTGAGACATTTGCCGTCACGGTACAAACCTGGACCACAAGTGTTCAATCGTGGCCAGGGTGGGGTGGGGGACGGGGTGGAGTCACACAGGTGATTAAACCACAGAGTGTTATTGGCTGTCAGGAGGTTACGGAGTCTGACGCCTCTTACCTCAGTTTATGACTGTGAAGAGGCCACATTTACTCAGCTGTGAGCACCAGCGTGGGTTTAAGTATAAATATACATTTGTGCACGGTGTTCATTTTAAAGCACGTTTTAATAAGGAAAAAATGGCCGGGTGGGATCAGCGTAGTAAATGTAACCCTTTATCCTTCCTAACCCCTTTGTCATGTTCCTCAATTCACTTAATTGCAGCCCTGCTACGTGAAAATAAATAATCTATAAAAAAAAAGGAAACCGCTCCCATCCAGCAAACACAGGGCTCTAAAACTGTACAAAGGTTGTTGTTTTTTTAAAAAATAAGTCAAAATGTTACTTTAAACTTCTTTCTCTATGGATTTTTACATACAGAACCATATAAAACAGTAAAGGGATAAACAGAAACAGGTGAACAGTGTTACAGAAATCATTTTAGCCATAAAAGTTTGTAGTCTCATACTCAAACTCCAACTTTACAGCGGCTGGACCTGATGCATGGGGTGCCAGACACAGTCACACTCGCAAATTGTCCAGGTTAACAACCTGTTATAGTTAGTTTTTTAAGCTCTTTGGTAACCGACATCACCGCTAGAAGACATGGCAGGAAAATAAGTTTTTTGCCTGATGTCATTTCTGGCTTTGCATTTACAGATTCATACTTTACTCTTAAACAAAGGTCATGAAATCACTTGTTTATTAAAACAATCTTTAAAACGTACTTTAAGTCAGAAAGAAAAAGACGCGCAGTGCAAAATCTACACACTTAAATTGAATTAACAGAATTTATATTTTCTCTAAAGTAAATTTGCTGTTTTTGTTGAGTCTTTGTACCCTCAACCGTCATCAACTTCCTGCCCATCACTAGGTGGCAGCAGTGAACCCCCTGTACTTCCGGTGGACTAGCTCTGCAACTAAACCACCGACCCTGAGAGCAGAAAGCTAAAACCTGGCAATACCTGTAGCTGATGTTGTACCATGGAGCTGTCTATTGTACCACATCCTCAGGTTCTTTCCACAACATTATAGGCTTCTTGCAAGCCACGGTGCTCTCAAACACTTTCCAGAGCCAACAGGAGAGGAGCTGAAGCGGAGACGATTTTCGAGATGAGAGTTCAGCACACCTTCACATGACACTATTTCCAAATGCCTAGATATGCACGCCAATGTGTAACTTTCAATGCTTTTGATTCGCCTTCTAACCTTTTCCTTCAAAGAAACTACAGGGCTCCACTATTAAGGAAGGATAAAGTAAAACATAGCAACACAAATGGAAAAACAAACAAAGAACACCAGGCGTAATAGACACACTAATCCTTTAACACAAAGGGTGTGTCACCAAATGGAGAGAATGAAATTCATGGAAATCTTAAGCTGCAGCAGAACCAGTTCTCCATTTCAGACTAAGTTCAGGCCAGCCCATGATGGGGCAACCTCCGACCTCACATCAGGACCTCACCACTTCCTCAGGGGCAGCGCTGAGGGAGTGGGGCTCAAGAAGGAGTCTCTACAGGGCTGCCTACTGCCCCTCTTCCTGCCCCCTTCCTGGTAATGACAGTTCAGCCCCCCAGTAATGGGGCATCCTTGCTCTTTAACTTATGCTCTCTTCAGATAAAGTGCCATTCGAGTCTGTGAGCACAGGAAGAGTCTGGGACACTGGTCCAGGCAGACTTTCTGCAGCATCTCCGTACTCGCTTTCAGCCAGCTCACCCTCACGCTCGCAGATAACTGTCATTGGGCTGCTAAGGATTCGGCTGCGTGCGTTGTACTTGCTGCTGGCAGCAGAGGGCGGAGTACGGGAGCGCCCGTATTTGAAGCCGCTCATTGAAAAAGGTGAAGTCGGCGAGGACAGAGCATAGGACTCATAGCGATTCCACTCATCTGTTGCCCGTATGCTGCGGCCTGGGGAGGCGCAGGGGTTGGGTGGTGCTGTTGGGGAGGAGGGCGACGCAGCAGGGGAGTCTAGTACTGATTCGGAGTACGTTCGCTGGAAGCGTGGGTCAGTGGAGCGAAGCATCTCAGCAGCAGACATTCTGAAACTGGTCTCAGAGCGGCTGCCCTTCTTAAGGAGAAGTGCCTTGAAGGCATCGCTGCTGGTCGAAGACTTGCGGAGGTTGCGCTGAATGGAACCCGTCTGCCGGGACAGAGGGGACACCATCCCTGGGGACGTGCCTGTAGGTGTGGCGGGTGGAGACTGTGGGTGGTTCCCAAGCCGGGACTTGTCCTCTTCAGAATCCTTGCGACCCAAGACCTTGCGTTTTGACCTAGGGTAAGATGTGGATAACCAGATTAATGACATGCTTGTTGAAATTCTGCAGTGAGTGAGGGCAAGCACAGTTCATTTCTAAAGAGTAACATAATTTAGAGGCAGATGAAGGATGAACTGACAGAGGAGCAAGTGGGGACAGTTTTGTCAGGGAATGAGGACATCAGTTTCATTTATTCAAATTAAAATTAGGCTACAGTATACAGTGGGGTAATATGTAAACCTTTTGGAATTTCATGGTTTTCTGCATTAATTTGTCTGTTTGTAAGAAAATGAGTTTGGAGGTGTGGACTAGAGCTACTTTGACTGATAAAAACCACTCAAACCTTTTGAGTTTGCTCCACACAAGAAGAATATGCTTATGTGAGCCATGCCTCGCCAGAAAGAGCTTTCAGAGGATCTACAATCAAGAATTGTTGATTTACATAAAGCTGGAAAGGGTTAAAGTGATTTCAAAGACTTTAGAAATTCACCAGTCTACAGTTAGGCAAACAATCTACAAATGGAGACACTGTGGGACTGTGGTTACTGTACCAAGAACTGGGCGCCTGGTCAAAATGGTCCAAGAGCACAACGAAGACTCATCAATGAGGTAAAGAAACAATCCCGAGTGACAGCCAAAGATTTGAAGGCATCATTGGAACTGGATAACATCTGTGTTCATAAGTATACAGTATGTGAAACATTGAACAAGCAGGGTGTCTATGGCAGGACACCACGAAGGAAGCCGCTGCTTACTAAAAAGAACATTGCTGCACGTCTGAAGTTTGTGAAAAAGCACATTGACACTCCATGGGGGTATTGGCGAAATGTTTTGTGTACTGATTAAACTATTTAGAAAGAACACACAGCACTACATCTGGTGTAAATAGGGCACTGCATATCATGGTGGAGGAAACATCATGATTTGGGAATGCTTTGCTGCATCAGGGCCTGGCCAGCTTGCAATCATTGAGTGTATCACAAAATTCTTCAGGATAATATAAGAATGTTTGTACATCAGCTGAAACTCTGTAGAAGTTGGGTGATGCAACAGGACAATGACCCAAAACACTGGAGCAAGTCCACAACAGAATGGCTTCAGAAAAACAAAATCCACCTTTTGGAGCGGCCAAGTCAGAGCCCAGACCTCAACCCAATAGAGATGCTATGGAATGACTTGAAGAGAGCCATACACGGGAGACGTCCAAAGAATATAACGGAGCCAAAGCAGTTCTGCAGGAAGAATGGGCTAAAATTCCTCCTGAACGATGTGCAGGTCTGATCCACAGCTACAGGAAGTGCCTGGTTGAGGTTATTGCTGCCAAAGGGGGGTCAACCACTTATTAATTCCAGGGGTTCACTTACTTTTTCCACTGCCATTTTGAATGTTGAATGAGTGTGTTCAATAAAGACATGAAAGATCAGAATTTTTTTGTGGTGTTCTTTTAGGCACATTATATTCGTCAGTGCTCTTGACTTAGATGAAGATCAGATCACATTTTATGACAAATTAATGCAGGAAACCATGAAATTCCAAAAGGTTCACATACTTTTTCTTTCAGATGTGTTAGCAGAAAGCCCAGCCTTGTGAGCGTTTTTTTTTTGCTGTAGATAAAAAAAATTGCACTTAAAATAGTTAACCCACACACCTCCAATCTTTGTCCCAAATTTGCCATATGTCAGCACTGCCCCTGGCAATTATGGATCACAGTGTGAATCTTAAAGAAGTCAGACAATAAGGAGCACGGAGTGGCGTGGATGCTCAGAAACAAAAGACAGCAATGAGAAAAGGAGTTGTAAGTTTTTGGACAAAAAAAAAACCAATGAGCTTTTACAGGAGAAGCTGCAAACACTGCAACTCTGTGGGAAAGCTCAAACATGGTACAATAAAATTAATCAGAAACACAAAGTGGGAGTAGTGCCCAAAGAGGTTTTAATCACCCAGCGACAATTTAGCCTCCTCTCAGCCAGGGGTATCAGTGGTTTACTTTACCACTCATCTTACACTAGCAGTGAAACAGTCTTAATGTGTGTTACAGGGGGTTGCACTGTGGCATTACTGCTGCTAATGCAAAGGTAGCATCACAGCGATGGTAGAAATAAGGTTTGCTAATCAAAGGGAAGGGGTTACTTGCTACTTTGCATCTCTCTTGAAAGGATGCACGCACCCACTGCATGCACCCTCTGCACATAGGAGGAGAGGGGAGACAGATGATTAAAGGCATTACAAATTCTGTGATAGGCATCAGCTATTTGATGCTAAAGGTAAGTAGAAGAGTGGAGGACTCAGTGAGACACAATCCTTAATCCTCAGATTAGATCTACAGAAAGAAATTCTTCCAGAAAGGACACAGCCAGCGGAGAATATACTTGTGAAGGTCAAGCGAGGGAGGTCTGAAGAGATGGAAACAGTTTTGTGAAAGTCTCTAAGTCTGCCTTTTGATGTAGAAACACTGCAAAGTGTATGTCTGTGCCCTACATTCAACCTAGCCTCATTGCCTGTGAGCTCCCTCACCACATTAGCCCATCAGCATTACATAAGACTTTACTCACACACATTCACACGTGCATGCACTCACACCTGAATTCAGTCAACCATGACAGCTCCATGCTAAAATTGCAGTGGCAAGCAAACAGAAAGTAGTGATACGAATCTTGGTTATCGAGGTAAACAAAGCTTCAATTTAAGACAATATAAGTCCTCAATCGATCACCTCCACCCCCAGCACATATTTTCTGCAGCAGCGTGGAGGCATTTCATTCAAGGTTTTCATCATTTTGTTTTCCCAGAGTGAGAGAAACAAGACATGTGAAAGGAGACTACGGAATAAAAGGTACTGGACAGGTGAGAAGGAGAGTAGAAATGTGTCAGAGCTGAAGAATTAGTGAAAGAAGGTGCAAATAAAGAGCATCTGAGTGAGAAAGTTGAAATCTTGCATTCCGACGTACAATCTACCCTTGGTTTTAAATGTTAATTTTAAAGTTTCAAAACAACGTATCAAATAGAATTTGATTTGATGCCCCTTTTCCTGTAAATTTACTCCTAAATGATGCATATGATTATGTGAGGTAAGTTTTTCTTCTGCTCTTTGTAGCCACACTTCCTCCCTTACCAAAAATCTGTGTAATTGTTCTAAATGTTCCATACTGTCGAGGTGTGATGGAGGATGAGTGCAGTACAGTCAACAAGCAGATTGAAGGGGAGGTTTCTGCACACATGCTTACACAATCTTCATGTTATGGGCATGTGACATTATAATTAATCAACAATCTGCCACCGGCAAAAATACAATCCTGTGATGCTCAAGAGAACTCCGAACACCATCACACATGGCTGTGAAACAAATTGACAGGCTATGTTAGAAATTTATGGGTCCGCATGTATGCAATATATGTCAGAGATAGCAGAGCACAAGAGAGACAGAAAAAGAAAAACTGAAAGTGTAAACGTATGAGCTGCTCTCTCCGGTGGCCTCTAACCTAGATTAGGACCAAAGGATGTTGAGTAGTTAAATAATGAATGAAGTAAAAGCCTTTTTTCTCCCACTGAGAATGAGCAACGCTAACGTGACTAACACAGATGCCTCAATAATCACTTGACGACTGACTCACGAAGCTTCCTCCACATGGCCTTTCTCCAGCCAGAAAAAGGAAAAGGCATGCTCCCCTGTGCTGGGAGACTCCAGAGACCAGCTATTTGACAGATGCCTGTGCTTACAGATGGGACAGCACTGGGTAAAGTTACGACAGGGAGGTGGAGGGCAGCAGGAGGAGGAGAGAATGACAAGAGGAAGGAGATAGAAAGAGAGAAATCATGGAGTGAAGGAGAGGAGGGAGGGAGAGAAAAACAACCAAGACAAGATGACAGAGTACTAGAGGAAAGTCGGTGCTATAAATTATATGTCAGGAAGCAGGTGAGGAGCAAAGAAACTAAAGTAGGAGGTACATGAAGGAATGACAAGAGGTATAAAAGAGAGAAGTGTATCATGGTACCTGTGAATAGCGGCAAAGAGGTCCTCAGTGGTCTGGGGCCGTGTCGGAGATGGGGTCACCATGTTGGTGGATGGGGCCGGAGATGAATCAGCCGTACTGGAGTCGAACACCTCACCTGAGACAGAGAAACATACACACTGTCAGAATAGAGTCAACACACAGTTCTTTAGGTTGGACACACTCCAGAATACATGGTCCTGTCACATTAACATGGCAGGTTACGAAATCACAAGTGGTACGGAGGAGGTGGCGGACTATCTTCTTACATTCTGTCTCTAGGTTCCCTCTCCTTTCTTCTCCTCTAGTTCAGCCTCTTTTTTTCCTCCTCCTCTTCCTCCTCACTCACGTTTGCGCTTCAACAGCCTGAGCTGCTGCAGACGGTTTCACTTTACGCTTTCCCATCTCCCTTTTATCCCCTTACCAGAACTGTTCCCCTCCCCTCTGATGTGATGGTGCCCCTCCCCCTCTCCCTCCAACCACAAACATCATCTTGGCTGGGACACTTGTCCCCCCCCATAGAAGTGAGTGACAGGTAGCAAGACAGAAAAATAGAGGGGCTGAGGAGGACAGATCGAGGAGAGATTACCAGAATAAAGAGGTAAAATGCAGAGAGGGAAAAACGCATGTTTGGAAATAAGGAGAGGAGTCAAGTAGACAGTGGAGGCTGAGGTGTATGTGTGAGTGTATATGCTGTATGACAAGGGGGAGTGGTGCTGGGACAATAAAGGGACAGTAACCACTAGTGTGACTGATAGTGAATGCCTGTGTGTGTGTGTGTGTGTGTGTGTGTGTGTGTGTGTGTGTGTGTGTGTGTGTGTGTGTGTGTGTGTGTGTGTGTGTGTGTGTGTGTGTGTGTGAATGAGTTAATGGGCAAATATACTGTAAAGCGTGTTAAGTTTGCAGTCTGTGTAGAAATGCGCTACACAAGTGCAAGACCATACAGAAGGATGATTAGAGGACAGAGAGGAGGAGAGGATGAATTCAAGAGGCTGCAGTACTGCTGTCCCAGTGTATCCCAAGCTATTTTCACAGTTTTCAAACCAGTGAAGCTTATGGGTTCAAGTTTGGCTTCTTTAACTCTAAAGGGCAAAATGAATTCCACAGCTGTCGGAGGAGCTGGATGCAAAGCTAGCAGGCAGCAGCATCACTACTAACCACAGAAGACTATGGCAATGGGATTAACTTATCAGTAAATGACAGTTTTGACTGGCAATACTTAAAACAGATTGCTCTTCACAAAGTCTGTACATTTCCAACTTTGGTGAAATAAATTCAGTCGGACTCACCTCCATCATCCTCCTTGGAGCTGATGGATCCAGTTGTGCTACTTGTTCCATCTCCATCCTCTTCTTCCTCTTCATGAGCCTCTCCATTGGTACTCACTCCATTGTCAAGACTCGTGTCCTGGCTAGCAGAAGCAGGGATACGGGACTTGTCCTGGGTTTCTGTGGATGCTTCACTGCTCTCTGCTAATGACTCAGGGCTCTCTGTGTTATCCTCCTCCTCACTTTTTTTCTCTTTCTCCTCTTCCTTTGTTTGTCTGTGCAGAGCATCTACTTGGTCTTCTGTTTGAGACAGGTTGGTTGTATCTCCATACAAAGATGGGACCCATTCATTGGTCGGTTGGGGGCTAAATGGTGGGAGAAAAGACAACTTGGGTTTCTTGGAGACTGCTGGTGGCTTCAGTTTGACAGGAGAGCTTTGCAGTGATTCCTGCCCTCCATCCCTTTCCTTTCCATTTAAAAGAAAGTAACTCTGATCTTCAGCTTTTCCATATGATACAGTGCTATCTGGTGTTTTAGCTGCGATACTGCAGTCTAATGACAACTCTTCTAAGAGCTTTGACACAGGTGATGGAGAGGAGTTACGTGAATCTTTGTCCATGGAGCTGTTTAACACAGGTAACACAGTGGGATGCTCCAGGGAGTGAGACCTCTCCAGGGTTTGGGGCTTTAGACCCTGAAAGAGGTCTTCCTTTGATTCCTGAGCCCTGGTGTGGTCTGATTTGCCGTTACTCTCTTTCTCTGGCTGTTTAACAGAGTGGAGCTGAACACTCTGCAGCGCAAACGGGGTGATCAGTGGCTTAGGTGGCACTGTAGGGCTGCTGGTAGTAGCTGGTTTGGGAACACGTTTCTCTGCCTTTACAAAAGTGGAGGAAGGTGAAAAAAAAGCAGGCAGTGGAGGAGGAGGAGGAGGGAGTGACAAGGGGGGCACAGGAGGGGGAGGTGAAAGGGGAGGAGTGAAGCTCCCATTTAAGGACAAATTGGGGTGTATTAGCATGTCAGGAGATGGAGGAGGAGGGAATTCAGGGGAGGTGGAGCAAGCAGGAAGTGAACTCAAAGAAGCATCCTGTGGAATGGATGGTAACAGCTGAGCTGCTGGAGAAGTTCCTTCACTGGAACTTGGTGGTAGAGAGGGAGGAAAGGGGGGAGATGGGCCAAGAGGAGTGTTGGGAACTGACGAGGAGGAGGAGAGGAGCAGGGGTGGAGGTGGTGGTGGAGCAGGACCTGAGCTCTTCAGTGAGTCAGAGGTGTTGGAAGAAAGGGAGGTGGAAGAGGAGGACATGGATACAGAGGAGAGAAGAGATGACTTCCTCTCGGGCACTTTGGGCTTGGGCCGGCTGCCCGAGGGAGACATGGACCTGACAATGGACGGCACCGGGGTTCCAGCTGTGGGGGTGTTAGACTGACTGGAGTAGCCACTAGATGGGGAGGTCAGTCTGTGTACCCTGTCCGGTGAGGAAGTGGACATTTTGGGCTTCACTGCCAACCCTTGACCCTGGCTTTCAGGCCCAGGTGCTTTACTGTTGTTGCGAATTTCACCCCCATTCTGTAGTTCTCTTGTGTGAGGCACAGCTGACATGTTATCTTTGGCATGGGCTGGAGGAGTCTGTGCCCTCTGCTCCCCATGGTTATGGGGGTAGTCCATGTAGTAACCCCAGGAGTCAGCATAGTCTGAACGCAAGCTGCTGGTGTCACTGTGAGTAGGTGTCACATGGCAGAGCGAGTATACATTAGACACACCACAGCTGGTGTTAGCTCCTACTGATGTTGCAGAACTACCTGCACTGATGCTACTCTGACTGCGTGGCCGCAGCAACCAAGGGTCATCGTAGTCGCTGCTGGGACTGTGAGAGGGTGAAGACGGTGAGGCACCCTTTCCTTTCCCTCCCCTCAGCCCTATCTGTAGAGTCTGTTGCAAGCTAGCAATCAAAGTCTCATTAAGCATAGCTCCGTTGCCTCCAAGTGGCTTTTTTGCAGCAGGCTTGCGTCTAAGAGAGTCTGTACGGGCTGGGGGCAGCGGAGGCTTCTTTGCCTTGCGAAGAGAGATGCTACGGGATAGAGAGTGATCACTGTATAAGCTTCCAGAGTCTTCCTGCTTGGCTCTCTCACGGCACTCGTACATGCTGTGTCTCGTGGGCCGTCCAGCCGCTGCTCCATGCCCACTGCTGTGGCTGCGAGAGCGTAGGCCTGAGTCCAGGTGCATAGAGGTGTAGTATCCATCGTTGTCCTGGGAATAGAGAGAGCTGGAATCAGTAGTGGTCCTGGAGGACTGATCCAAGCTGCTATACAGCTGGTTGATAGGAGTGGAGCAGCTGGAGGTCAGAGTGCGATGCGGGACCACCACGTTTTCTGGCGTGTCATAGAGCCACTGTTCCTCTGGCAGACAGGATGGAGGTGTGGGGGCCAAGGTGCTGTGGCTGAGTGTGCTGCTGTCCGAGTGCCCTGACTCGCTAGCGGGCGGTGGAACGACCAGACCACCACCCTGTGCTGTATAAGTAAGTGTAGAAATGGCCAAGGCTGGACAGGTGGAGCTGTGGGTGAAGGCTGTGGGACTGGAGTTCAGGGTGTCGGTGTTGGTGGAGGAAGCTGGACTGAGTGGATGAACTGTCGGGTAAGCTGAGGTTGGGGACTTACTGAGGGCAATGACCTCAGTGGACCTAGACATTGTGGCATTAGGGATGAGTGAGGTGGAATAGGCAGCATGAGGGGAGACCACACAAGCCGGACCTCCACCCCATTCACTGGACTGTGTCCCACTCACCTCCTGAGACTTTGGCCTAGGCAGGGTGCCTATTCTTGGGGCATGTCTCATGTGCACCACCGTATCATCAACCTGAAGCTTTCCAATCTGCCTCTTAGGTGTAGTTTCTTCCTCGGACTTGACTGGGGTGCTGCTATAGAGGGGATCAGCACTGAGGGACACTCTGGCGCCCTGTCGGGGCAGACTGTGGAAGCGGGAAGGGTCTCCATTAAACTGATGTGGTAGTATCACGATCCCGGAGCTGTCACTGCTGGAGACGGATATACATCCTGTTGAGGAGGAAGTAGAAATCCCAGCCATCTGAGCAGCAATGCCCTGTCCTCTTTGCGCCCGAATTCTTCTCATGGATGGGGGTACAACCTTCACAACTTCTGTCTGGCAGCTTGAGTCTCTGGTCTCTGAACGTCGGTGCACTGAGTTGATGCTCCCAACTCGGCCCAAAGTGGAGCACTGTCCTGGGATGTACATGGAATGCGGCCGCAGCAATCCGCCACGTCCTTTTGCTGCTGTCAAAGGAAGACAGAAAAAAAGATAAATGTGATTCACCAAAATATCTTGGTTCTTGCTCTACTACTTTTTTTCCAGTAATTCTTTCAGCCACAATGCCTTCTGCTCTTTGGTTGGTCTGTTAGATGAGCTGTAATCACAGGGAAGAAAATTAATTAGATTTTCTGGAACTCTGTCTCATGTATTAATAACCTCTGGTGTTCTTCATTTAGGAGGAAAGGATATGATGGGAGACAAAGAGAAGGAAAAACAGACTCCCTGCTAAACTACCTCTCCTATTCTGGCTCTAACCCAGTCTGACAGAATGGCACATAGTATCCTGGGGTCCAGGACAGACAGCTGGGAAGGCATGAGGCAGCCACCAGGCACATACTTGGACACAAACATACACAGAGCCACATGTGCATGCACATGCTGTACAGTGTTCATATGGCAATGCACTCACACAACACAGGATATAACGTAATATACAGATACAAGGACATAGAAAATGCAGATATATCACCAAGACACACTCAACATGGATAAACAGTTTGAAGAATGGGCTGTGAAACGAGAGAGAATGTCTAATATGTCTCCCATCTGTAGCTGCTCTCCTGTTGATGTCTGTATTCCAAAACATGCACACTCTTGTGTCCTTTCTTCTCTCTCTCTCCTTTCTCGCGCTCCTTAAACCGAGCATAAACTGTCTTTCTCCTTTGCTAGAAGCCGGAGTGACAGCTTGGCTGCTGCTGCCTCTGCTGCTGCTGCTGCTGCGATACTTAAGCTGCAGGTCCTACCTCACAGGCAGCTCTAGAGCAAGGAAAGGGAGGGTTGGAGCACCGGGACAATTACCCCAGCCCACTAACCATGACATTCAGAGCCTGTCATCAGATGGGCACTAACTAGACTTTAAAGCTCTTTTCCTATTGGCCTAGGTGATCTTATCGCATAGAGAAATGGCATTCTTACATGCTGCCATGCTGCTCTCATCCTACAGCTCAGAGAGGTGGCTATATATTTAGGAATGGGAAACTCTTACTTCTCCTACAGTATGTGACATGATTTTCCAACAAAGTCTAAAAGGACATATTATGGAATAAGTTTCTAGACGAGGAAAAGGGCTAAATTCAAACCACAAAACTACTGAAAAAGGATTTTATAAGTGAATCCTGGCAGTGGATACAGTTAAACAGGGTGGAAAGGAGAGCAAATGAGGACACGTGGTGTGTGGAAGTGAAACAAAGTCTGAACAGCTGCAGGGCCTTGATCCAACACTTGCATGTGTCATTTTCTCCCTACAAGTTACTCTGAACAGTACTGGTGGGGTGAGATAATTGTGTAGTCAGTATACAGGTATGGTTGATGAAAGCATAGGTCCCAGGAGAGTAATGTTAAGAGAAGTAATGACAGAGAGAAGGATGCTCATCCAGAGTATTGGAACAGGTCTTTGGACATCACAGAGCCTCACAGTGATCCATACCTAGCTCCTGGTCGATGCTGTCAGGTAGCCCTGATATAGTCTTTCTGCGTTTGACCTTCTTGGACCGGCGGGACACGGTGTCAGTGTTAATGAGGGAGCGTCGGATGCTCGCTTGTCGATCAAGTTAGTGGAAAGAACAAACTCGACAACATGCGGGAGTTTTTTTTTTTTGGTTTTTAAGTAGAACATGCAACACTGTCAGGAAATGTGAAGTTAGGTTCAAACAAACTGCTTAGAATTGTTATTTTATTTAGTCTATTTTCCTCAGCTCCCCCCTAGTGGTATCTATCCATGCAGAAAGTCTTGGATTTACCTGCCCAAAGTTTGAAATATGCTTTTCTGTTTTCTGGTACTGCACCAAAAGAAAACTGTTATTACTTGTTAGCCAACATATACAGAGATTGTTATTTCTGCAAAAATAACAACATAATATCAGACAACATATTGGCCACATCAGTTTATCAGTCCAGTTCTATTAAAGACTGCTGACAGTTAGGGCTGCATGGACATGTTTCTAGATACTGCTAGATAATATCCTAGATTACTAGATACTATTAGAGGTAAGTGAGAATGTATTTATTTTCCGTTATTTGGTCAATCAGACCCTCTAACCTTTCCAACCATCTGTCAAAGTGTCTAAAAATTGAAAAATAAAAATGACTCCCATTTCCATCCTTTTACTATGCTTTTAGTGGTCACAAGGCTTTCAATGAAAACCTAAAATTCTACCATGAATATAAGTAACTGAGGTGTAAACGTACAGTAAGTGTAGGATATGTACGATGTTGAATGCATGCTCTTATCACAAAAACATGCACAGGAAGGACATAGGGTGAAGCATGCACACACACACATTCATTTTTCTCAATATCATTCTGTCCAGTTTCCTGGAAGAAAGTAATATCTCACTATGAACTGCTCTTCTCTCTGGTATCTGTCTAGCTGGTGACCGCCTGCAGGCATTAGGGAAATTGTTATAAGGGCTGATAGTGACCATCAGACTCCCCCTCAACGTGACAGAGAAGTCCCTGATCTCTCTCTCTGTGTCTGTTTTTACTCTCTCAGTCTTAGTAATCTAAAGTGGCAGCAGATGAAATCAACAGTGGTTTGTGTGGAGTGGGACCACATTAACCACTCATTAGGACGACAGGCTTGCAGTGTGTATTGGCCTTGACACCAGCAAAATTTGTCTCTGTACTGTTGTTCATCAGTTTTCACCAAATGAAGTCCCCTAGCAGATGCAAATTCATGTCATTAAACAACAGAACTAGCTGAATGTTTATGTTAGGCGTGTCAGTGTGTTTGTGACCTCTGAAAGATGTAACATGCTAACAAGGGAACTGCCTCGAAATGTTTTGCTGTCAATCGTGCTGTGATCTGACAAAGTCACTGATAAATGTGACCCCTGGATAAGCTGTCAAACGATTTTCACACACAAATGCTCGCTTCACACATGCAGAAAAGAAGGTCAGTCCCTGGGAAACATGATGGAAGTGAAGAAAATACATAAAGGTAGAGGGAGGAGGCAGACACCCATGACTTAGAGTTTTTCCTCCTCTGTGGATGTCTGGATAAAGTCACTGACAAGTCTGTATCCTATCAGCTGCAGAGGGCTGATTAAAGGAACGGTCTGACAGTGGTCTGCCTTACTGAGAGTTAGAGGAGACAGTCAGTATATAATCCAGATCTATAAAGTGTATTTTAACTTGCACTGGAAGGTAGCAGTTTAGGGTTTTGCCTTATAATGCTGCACAGATAAAACATATCGGAGTCCACAAATTTCGCTCTGTTGGCAACGCTCTTTATTTCTACATTAAACATCATCATCATCCTCTAACTTCTGGAAAGACAATCAAAACATGTCAGAACATTCCTTTAAGACAAACAAAATGTGATTGTTGGTAGGAGGTTAATACTACAGAACAGAGAACAGGGATGGATGAGGCCAGATCAAACTCTGAGCAGTGTAATCTTTCTACCCTGCTACAAAATATGGAACTAGAAGAACAGGACTAGAGGTTCGGGACACTGATGGGGATTGGTCTCTACTTGCTAACTGTTGAAAGATGGACAAAATGCTTGACAGACTGCAGTAGTCAGTAGAGTTGACATACCTGTGACGTTGATGGCAACTATGTCTGTGGGCACGGCCTGAGCCGCCTGCCTCATTTTCTCCTCTGGGGTGGGGAGGGGCGTAGCCTTTTTCCATACCACCTGTCCGTCAACCTCTGACCCATTCCCTTCTTCGCCCCTTCCCTGAGGGGTCTGGGGCCTCATTGAGAACTGAGATTTGTCATCCTCCACTGATGAAGCTGTGGACTGGAGGAACAAGAGACAGACGTAAAATATTAAGTAAGAGAAAGGAAGGAGGGAAGAAAGTAAAAGTGATGGACAGAAAGATAATAAAAACAAGGAATGAAAGGAGAACAGTGATAGGTAATTGAGACAAGAAGAAGAGAGATAAGAAAAGAGTGACCGCTGAGAGACGCATGATGCGGGGTAACGTACGGCAATTGAAAACAAATATTTAGTCATATTGAATTTGAAAAATGTCAAGATAACAGAAGAAAAAATGTGAGCAGGAACAAAATATTATGAAACTTAATGGTCCAGACTGTTAGCGATATATTGGCACACACAGGCACATTTTAATATATTACACTGCTGTGACCTTTAGAAGCTTGTGGTGCTGTAAACATGTTTCACAATCAGTCAAACTCAAATGCAAACACACACATATGCACACTGTACCACACACAAAGACCTATAAACTGACAAAGCGGTTTGAGATGGCAGAATTAAAGCAAGAGAGTAAAGGTGAACATGAGAGTGAATCAGTCATGCATTAAACTGTGTTCACACACTAAGAGTTCTCAGGCGCAGAGACGACAACACACACTTCAGCATCCAGGCTTTAACTCGAGCTAATATTCCACAGCAGCACCTCAGATTAATTTCCAATTTGCTGACTTTGAAGTCAAAGTCAATCTGGGCTTAAATTCTTATATTACACTCCAGTTTGAGTCCAGAGCACAGTGAACCCAAATAATCCACAAATGGATAAAAAAAACAAAAAAAAACAACTAAACATCTGTAATACAAAGCTTGGTTATGCAAATGTCCTGTTATTTTGCATCATTGTGGTTCAACCAGGAGCCCTGTCTCTCCTTTTGAAGCAGCTGTCAGGCGAATGCTAGGCTCATTGGCCTCAGGACTGTAGGAATTGACTGCGAAGAGACGGGAACAGGGACAACAAACGGTGGAAGAGAGAAAGAGAGAAGGAAGGCACAGTGGAAGAGGATGAAAAAGAGAGGGTGGGTGTGTAGAAAGTACCAACACACACATTGAGAGATGGGAGCCAAAAGTTTACAAAGACTACAGCATGTTATGGAGGTCAAAGGTTGAGGCAGGCATGAAATTGGCCTTGGGGGGGACAAAAGAGGCCCTGATAATAACAGTGAAAGACCCCTTAACCCTTTCAGGACCACAAAAATATCGTGTAAATGTTTCTGTGAGACATAATGAGGTGAGAGAAGAAGAGGCATATATGGCTGTCAAAACATTTACACCTCGCGCTAATGGTCTCCTACACAAAAGAGCAAGAAACACCTGCTCTTTACCCCCTGTCC